CATTTGTGTGGGCGTGCGGACAGGGCGGTCCCAAGAGCAAATCTGCACCGGAGTGCGCGTCTGTAGCGTCCCGGGGACGCGCTGAGGCGTGAGATTCCGCTTCGAGGTGTTGGGTTGAACCCTAAGCCCCATGTGGTGCAGCCCCCGGGGCTGCAGTCCTGGGCAGCAGCTGGGGAGGGCATCGGGCCGGCTGCCGTCCCTCTCTCCCTGTGCGTTCTGTTCGCCGCAGGCGGCCTCTGCAAAACACCCACGCCCCCCGCCCGTGGCCACCCTCTCTGCTGCCGCTGCCACCTCTTGCTGCCGCAGCAGGGCGCCGCGCCCTGTCGTGCACCGCCCCTCGCGCCTGGAGGTGGAGACCTCCATCCGGCGGCGCAACGAGGAGGGGCCGCTCAAGGGGCGGCTGGTGTGCTTTGACGTCAGCGGCGGCAGGGAGGCGGTGGGTTTCGGGGGCTGTGGGGCATTGGAACTGGGGCAGCGAGCGTCATGCTCAGGCTGTCACAGGCTGGGGAGCGACGTCGGGTCGTGGCTGATCTGTGTTCCAATCGTGGCGCCCACGGACGCAGTGCTGCGTGTATTGGGTTGATACATCGCCAGGCCTCGGGTCCCACAGCATGCACTGCCCAAGGGCCCTCTGACCGCCCACCATGATGTCACCCTGATTGCGTAACGACCGCACCATCGCAGCTGCCCATCCCGGTTTGGAACGAGGTGGATGACCCGCCCGAGGTTTCAGCAGACCAGGAGCAGCAGCAGGAGCAGCAGCAGCAGCAGCAGCAGCAGCAGCAGCAGCAGCAGGAACAGCAGCACCAGGAGCAGCAGCCGGAGCAGCAGCCTGAGCAGGGGCAGCAGCACCAGCAGGGTCACGAGCAGAGGGTTCAAGAGCAGCAGGGACAGGAGCAGCCACAGGAGCCGGAGCAGCAGCGGCCACAGGAGCAGGAGCGGGAGCAGCAGCAGCCGCCGGCGGACGGGCGGGCTGAGGAGGAGGGCCAGCAGCCGGGGGCCCCGGCGGCAAACGTGACGGTCGCGCCACGCAAGGAACTGGAAGAGGGGTCACCCGCGGAGCTGGGGGCTGCGGGGCGGAGTAAGGATGGAGGGGAGGGCCAGAGGGTTGGGCAGCACCAGGCAGGGGCGGCTGCAATCGAGCAGCAGCAGCAGCAGCCGGAGCAGCAGCAGCAGCAGCAGGCATCGGTGGCGCCGCGGCCAAAGTGGCCGTGCAGCGGGGCGGAGGCGATGCGCGCCATGGGCATCCCCGATTTTGTGAGCGCTTGCGTTGATGGCGTTTGTCGGGCCGCTTTGTCTGCAAACCGCTGATCGGCTGAAAATTGATGGGGCTCCCAGGCCACAGAGGGGCCAGTCAATCCAGTCGACGGGGGGCCCAGTCAATCCAGTCAACGCAGGGTCCTCTGCAGCGCGGGCATCGAGGGCGGGGAATCACCTCTGGGGTTGCACAACCCAAAACTTTGGCGCTCACCAAGCTCCAAGGAACCTCTCATCTCCTGACCCTCTCATGCCTTCCCTGCGTCTGCGCCTGCGCCTGCTGCCCGCCAACTGTTGCACTGTCATCCACAACATCGAAAGGCCTACATTAAAGACTACCAGTGAGTGCTGACATCATCCGGGGCTGACATCAGCGAGCAAGTACAGATTTGCATGCCTGCACGTTCTCGGTCGCCTGCGCGCGTCGCGCAGCCGCCTGCTTTCCCCTGCACCCCTCTCGCACGAACCATGTTGCGAGCTCAACACTGGGTCCAACTGGTCTCCACCAGCTGCCCCTGTTGACCGGTTTGACAGCTTTGACCGCGTCATTTTGACTGCTAGGTACGGCCGCGAGGACGTGCAGCTGGCGGCGGAGGCGGGGGAGCTGGACTTCAAGACCAAGTGCAGGATCACGTGCGGGGTGCAGGTGGGCCACGGACTGCTTGCGCACATTCCCGCATATGGCGCCAGAGCTCCCCCCTGATCAGCAATAGGACCCGTGTCTCTTCCCCAGCATGCAGCCTCCGCCCCGCCGCCCGCACACGGGCCGCACGTCCCGCTGACGCGCGCGCCGCCC